ATCCCACGGAGTACCTTCATTCTTGACCAGCGTATTTCTGTCTCTGTTGTTAAATAAATATTGCCATAACAAACCCCAAAATGGAAATTACATTTTCCAGTACAGCCATCCATTATTATGAGAATTCCTACAAAAAGAAATCTTGTGTTTGTATTAAAATGTGGAATGTTGTGAAGTTAACTGTTTAAATCAGCTCACATGATATCTGTACGAGTAATACAGTGGCTGCTGTTTGATGGAGATGCTCACAACACATCTTGATACAGGTCGTGACTCTGTTATGATAACATTATGACTTCATCCTCATATTACTATGACTTTTATTCTAGTAAAACTTTATATATATATATTCATCTAATACTGTGTGCAGTCTAAAGTAAATGCCATATAAATTGTGAGCAGGAAACCGTATTTTTGTTGACAAGTTTACTCTCCCAAAACAATGTTAAAATGGTGAAATTCGTGCAGACTATGGCTTAAATACAATCTATAGTAAGTGTAAGTAGTATGTGAAAGGTAATTCCGTCTAATTTTGTTTGGTCATCTGAAGTGTTAGAATATTTCCAAGCTGCACAACTAAGAGGCATTTTGCTTTCTCCTCTCTGCCACCTCCAATATGGCGACATGGTTATGCAGTTCAGCTGGTCTATGCTTCTCAAGCGATCCTTTAAAAACTGGGACAAAGTGGGAGGGCTTATTTGTTCTGATTGGCTGAATGGGAGGATTTCTTTGCTCTGATTGGTTAGAATTATTGAAAGGGAATAGCGGATTGGTTGGGTGGTCAGAGGGGGTTCGGTTCAGTGAAACAGCAATGTTGACGTTGTTTACACTAACATCCACTAAGTGGCGCTGTTGACCAAACATCTGAATTGAAATTGATTGAAATTCTTCTGGTGGCAAAGTGGTCCTTATTGTGCTCGCGAGGTGTAATCAATGTCTGATTAGCGCCATTCTCTTCTCCTTGTCTAAACAGCTGCTTGAAATGATTTTCCTTCATTTGTTTTCCTTTAAGATTAACACTCTGAGGCCACCTYTTCATACAATTTGGAGTCATCCTGAAGTGTCATCAACACTGCAATTTACCACATGGTCTTAAAGTGGCATTCTGTGATTTTACACTTGAAGGAATAATTTACTTTTTTTTTTGGTGGGGGGGGGGGTGAACAAATAATATGTTACCTGTAGTAGATACATCTTTGAACAAGTCAGTGACAYTATCATTTAAATTCAACCTCCTTCCAGCCTCAATGAAAACAGAAGTAAATGGATATTACACGTATTAGCATGTCTGGAACAATTTTGAAGTTATAGATCACTACATTTTTATCTGCTATGCTTGTTTTGTTCAATGTTTGCATTTGATCTTGACACTTCCCACCTACTTACATGCAGAATTGCAGTTTTGTAACGTGACTGSCTTACTGAGACACAAACTCATGCATTGATCCCATCATCCTAGTGTGAATATGGTCTAACACGTTGGTGTACCACAGTTTGAATACGTACATACGTTGTGTGTAAATACTCAAAGACAAAGTGACTGGACCTCTGTTCTGTAGCTGAAGATTTGAAGAGTGCAAGCTTTTAAACTGCATGACATTGTTATTGATAATATCAGTATCTGGATCGGTCCGTAAACCCCTACCCCAGTGACGTAAAAAGTTGAATAAAATGCGACAGGACCTTTTAGACTGCATGTGCTTTGAAAAGCATTAGATATGTGCTCGATTTAGTGCCGTTTATGAAAAAACTCTGGGTCAGATTTGAAAAAAAAAAATCACATTTGTCACGATCAGAGTGTCATAAAAAAAAATCAAATGTGGGTTGAATATATGGGCCGAACAATCAGATGTTGGATCACTTTTTTCTGTAGTGTGAAAGTAGTCTTAGAGGCTATTCAAAGCGCTATCTATAGCAGGTGAGATAATAACTACTCGTGTTTCCACAACCCCATTATGTTTAAGGCTTCTGCAACAAAATACAGTATGTTAATCACACGGGACTGCTGTTGTCTAACAGAATGTATTTTAAGCTGTACTCATGCAAAGCCTCAGCTCAGATTCCTCTGTGCGTTGGGATCAGTTTTAAAACTTTTCTGCCCCAGTTTTCTGGCTCTCGATATATAGACACATGCAGTAAAACCACAGAGAAAACAGCAGGGCTGTTCTCTCCGCCCTAAACCCTCCTTCACTCATTCTCCACCCAGAGGTATTTTATGARCACTTAACAGAGTTTGTCTACGTTGGGTCTTTGGGGTTGGAGTCATAAGCCCCTGGCTATATGCTGCTGGCAGGACTCGCACACTGCATGCCCAAATAGGTTTTACAGGCTGCCTGGGCCGCCGCCATTTCAAACCTTCCCTGGAAAAATACTAGCATCCCACGAAGCAGTGAGMCGTGGAAATATATGGGTGTACAATATGTGGACGTTTTAAATTTGCAGCAAGTTAGAGATTTGGAAACCCTGCTGTGAGTAACACTGGAAGAGACTCCTGGATGCTGGGTGTTGTTGTTGTTGTTGTTGTTTTTTTCTGGTCTTTGATGTAAAGAAGTTCATTCATTCATCCCATTTTTTTGAATTCATAGTCTTATAATTGGTGAGATTTGGAAATGTGAAAMTGATCTTTGCAACACTTGCAATGTTTGATACATATTTATTCTGGTACTTTCCCAGATATCAAACTAACTCGTTTTCAATGTAAAACATGGGACACTATAAGAATCAACTTATAGGAATTATTTCAAATTTATTGAAACAAGAATATACAGACTTGATCCAGGGAGAATTAATGACCATGTAGGCTCACGAACCATGTCAACGTTTTGCAAAGCCACAGCAAAGGCTCTGAAATGATGAGATGTTTCTTTTTTTGTTGTCTTTCATTGACCTGGTGTATGTTCATGCCATGATGGTCAGTGGTCATTTTAGCATAGGAAGCTGTAAGACCACGCATGTTTTGGCCACCTCCACCGCCGTCATTGCCACTTGCCTGGTCTTTTATCACAGCCACAAAAAAAAAAAAAAAAACCAGGAAACTGGTAAAACTGGAACTGATTTTATTTTGAAGGTAAGAGGAAGTTGACGGAATTCCCATCTCGATGAAAGAAAGCAAACAGTGTGAGTAGGATTCCATGACGGTGCACTCTAAAAATAAAATGTTGGATTTACTTAACCATGTTATGTTACTTGGTTCCACTTAACTGAGTTGAGTAAATTCAGAGCAATATACTCATGTTCTTTAGTTTAAAAAAATGGTATATTGCTTTGAATTTACTCAACTCAGTTAAGTGGAACCAGGTAACATAACATGGTTAAGTAAATCCAACATTTCATTTTTTACAGTGACCATGTCTTACAGAGGATTTCACTTAGAACCATTCTGGTTGAATCAAGCACGGCCACCATGGAGGAATGAGGGTAAAACATTTGTATCTTAAACCAAAATCAAATTTGACAGTGAACTGAACATTAAAACCCTACAAAATAACACCAAAATCATGCGATGACATCAAGTATGAAGGAAGTGATGGATGTTTATGTTGAGGTGAACAAGCTCATAATATCATAATTCATAGCTTAACCACAGGAGAAAAAAATATATATTTTTGCTCATAACTTCCTTAATGTTTAAGTTATCGGCATGAAATTTTCAGAAATGATCCATAATCTGCTTTTTTTTCCTGAAGCATCTTGTAGATGGCCTGGGAAAACTGGAAAGTGCTGCTGAGGAGTGGGATGTCTGGGTTTCTCTCCTGGACCTGTTGCCTCCACAACCCGACTATGAATAAGCGACAGAAGATGGAGTTCTTGTTTCCTAAAAACAAAAATGCTTGATAAAATCCAATGTAAAAGCAGCAGAAAACGTATAAAATAATGTAAAAACAACAAACTGCAGCATCAAATCAAACTTGCTGCATTAGAAATCCATAAAAGAAGTACCATTTAAAAAC